TTTTTTTAACTGATTTTGTCTTTCTAGGAAAGCACTTTTTTTACTCTCTTATTTAGCTGCAAGCTGGCACTTCCATTGGTTGTTTGCTTAGTTTTCCAGGCAAAATGTACAAAGTTGTTGGCTTCTTACAATCATAAAGTCTCATTGATTGAAATAATTCATTTTTTAGTTCTTTATGATCTGAACATAACAAAAATGTAAAAAATAGTTTGATTAATGATATGAACAATTACCTAATAATTAAAGTATTAATGCCACTGTATTACTAATAATATCATTCACTTCAGTTGCACATTTTCCCCCTTTTCTCCCATACTAACATAAGAAAATAAGCACATTTCCTTACCTTACCAATATCAGTATCAGTGAAAAAATGGACAAAGTCTCTGTATTAACAACTGTTTTATGACTATATTTATATCCATTCACATTTCAATAATTGTTCCCAAAGGCCTTATTTATTGGTTTATAATAATTATGAAAGATAATAGATTTCATTGTGGTATATTTAGACATTTAAATAATACTTTGAACTAATTACCCAAATGTCTTTTATAGTACTATTGTTAATGGAAACCAATCAAGGGCCATAAGAAGCATTCAATAATGATATGTTTAGAGACTCCAAATTCTAGATGTGTTTGCTACTTCCTACCTCCCCCAGAGCTTCTTTATTCCCTTTCCACACATATACTGGTGAAAAGATTGGGCCAGTTGCCCTGTGAAATACCCCCTCTTCTGGGATTTTCTGAAAAGATGAATGAGCAATTCTGAGGTACATTAAACTGTAGAAAGAATTATTGTGAAAAATTATGAAATGGAAAAGATGTGGATATGGTATGATGGGTAGTATATATTTCTTGCTCCAAGGTGATTCTCTTTTTTTCAATCCAATTTGGATCCTTTGTGGAGATGGTGTGTCTGTAGGAAGTGGTCACAACACTGTAAAAGATTATTATAGGTAGTGTCCTTTATATTTCCTCCTATTTTATTTGTTTGTTTGTTTGTTTATTTTTGGTACCAGGTATTGAACCCAAGGGTTCTTAAACATTGAGCTATATCTCCAGCCCTTTTTTATATTCTATTTAGAGACAGGATCTCACTAAGTTGCTTAGGGCCTCACTAAGTTGCTTAGATCCTCACTAAGTTGCCCAGGCTGGCTTTGTATTTATGAATTCTTGCCTCAGCCTCCCAAAGTACTGTGATTGCAGGCATGCTCCACTGAGAACAGCTCTTCTCCTAACTTAGTAGTCATTTCCCCATTTTATAGGCTTTTCTTTTCTTTCTTTTTTTAGTGTTTAACTTACTCTCTTAAAACTAACTATTTTGTGAGGAATTCACAGGACTATTAAAATAATGAGCTTCATATCAGGTGCAATCACTTGAGAACTTTGCACTGGGGCTCAGCTTCCACATGTGGT